CAGAAATGGACAGAGGGTTTACATTGTACATGGATTTAAAGTCTGGGGTTTAAGTTGTTAAAACTTAAACTCTGAGGTTTAATTTGCAAAACAGGTGAAACTCTGGGGTTTTTTTCATGTAATTTGCCCAAAAAAATATTAAAGGTAATAAAAAATACAAAATTACACTTATAAAATTATACCAAACCAAACGAAGCCTTAAGTCCCATCAAATGGGGTCGGCTATATGAATTCTTCTTTTCCACGCGGCTCTATCAAAAGCCATTTCGTTAGTCAAATTAAGTAAATCCATATCTCTATTTACAACGCTAGCCAACATTAATCTAGGCCTACCCGGTCCCCTAACATTTCCATTTACCGTCACTGCATCGCATCTCTTCACTACTGCCTCTGTTGGTCTCCGTTGAATATGACCAAACCATCTCAATCGATTCTCTCTCAACTTATCTTCTATCGGTGCTACTCCTATTCATTTCCGAATATACTCATTTCTAATTCTGTTTTGTCTAGTCTTGCCACACATCTACCTTAGCATCCTCATCTCAGCAATACTCATCTTATCTACATATTGTTTCTTGGTTGCTCAATACTTCGTCCCATACAATATCGCTGGTCTAATAGCTATTCTATAGAACTTACATTTTAGTCTAGTGGGTATGCATTTATCACACAGTATCCCATATACACTTTTCCACTTAAGCCATCCTGCCTTAATCCTATGGACCATATCCGTATCAATCTCCCTCGCCGTTGTGATAATCGATCCTAAATAACGAAAATGTTCACTCTTAGGCAATTCTTGGTTCTTAATCTTCATTTCTCCTTTGCTTTCATTATTTCTGTTACTAAATTTACACTTCATGTACTCTGTCTTAGTTTTGCTTATCCGGAATTCTTTAGATTCAAGTGTTTTTCTCCAAATCTCTAACTTTGTGTTAACTACTTCTTTAGTCTCATCCACTAACACAATATTATCTGCAAAAAGCATATACCATGGCACGTCATCTTGAATATTTCTCGTCAACTCATCTATAACTAAAACAAAAAGATAAGGACTTGGGGTAGATCCTTGGTGTAACCCTACAGTGATAGGAAATTCATTAGTCTCTCCAGCAGGTGATCTAATAGTGGTCACCACCCCTTCATGCATGTTCCGAATCACATCAATGTAACCTTTTGTCACTTCTTTCTTCTCTAACACCCACCATATTATATCCCGAGGCACTCTATCATAAGCTTTCTCAAGGTTGATAAACACCATATGAATGTTTCTTTTCTTTTCTCTATATTTTTCTATTACTCTCTTCAAAAGATAGATCGCTTCCATTGTTGACCTGTCAAGCATAAACCCAAATTGATTTTCTGACACCTCTGTTATATCTCACAATCGCGTTCCATTACCCTCTCCCACACTTTCATTATATGACACATTAGCTTGATTCCTCTATAGTCGTTGCAATTCTGGACATCTCTTTTATTCTTATAGATTAGCACTAAAATACTCTTTCTCCACTCATCTGTCATGTTCCTAGTCAACAAAATTTTGCTAAACAACCTAGTCAACCAAGCAACCTCCTTTTTATCCAAACACTTTCAAGCTTCAATAGGGATATCGTCGGGTCCTAAAGCCTTATTTGATTTAATTTTCTTAAGTGCAATCTCCACTTCAAATTCTCTAATCTTGCGATAAAAAAAACACACATTTCATAGTTAAAACATCATATATCATGCACAAATAACATAAAAATTGCATTCTATATTTCAAAATAAAAAATTGGTTCCTATAATAAAATTAATAAATACATCATTAAAATTAACAATTTCAACAATGTGATTTTTTCTTCAAATAAAAATAATTTGTTTTATCACATAAAACTAATTTGACAAAAAAACAGAAGAAAAAAAATAATCGGAGAGAGAGCCAAGCCAAAAATAAAAAAGAACAAAAAAAAAACCAAAGAGAAAAAAAAAAGGGCGTTGCATTTAGCAAAAAAAGAAAAAAGAAAATATAAATAATCAAAGAGATAGAAAGATGTTACATTTAGAGAGAGCGACAGAGAGAAAACAAAGAGTCAAAGAACGAAAACATAGAGACAGAAAAAAAAGAGAGAAAGAATGATAGAGAAAGTGAAGAACCAAAAAAAAGAGTCGAAGAGAGAGAGAGAGAGAGAGAGAGAGAGAGAGAGAGAGAAACAAAGAGGCAGAGAGAGAGTGATCGAACAAGAAAGAGAAGAAAATCGAAGGAGGAGAAGAGAAGAAAACAACAGAATTGAAAAAGAAGACATACTTTTGATTTGTTGCAGCGAACGGCGAGCGGCCTTAGCCCTTTCTCTCATCTCCTCTTCTCTTCGATCTTTGGTTTTTACAGTTTGAGCCCCAGTTACAAGTTTTAGAAATTATGTTTTGTACCCCGCAATGTTTGAAACGTGTCCCAAATGTGTCCGACTACAAAAAATTCAAAACAATATGGGACACTTTCGTGAGAGTGTTAAGACACATGTCGGAAATTGATACGCAGCCCTCGGGGAGGTATCCGTGCTTTATAGGTTCCATTGATATCGAGGGTGGTACTCATCGCTCCTTTGATAATCTCTTTTTGGCTACGCAAAGGCGTCAAGCGAATGTGGGTAGGTTTGAGCACGAATGGGAGAGCAATATCGAGATAAAGTTTCCTGACTTTTCATGGAAGCCTTAATCCCAACGAGTTCATTGATTGGCTCAATACTATCGAGTAGATCTTTGATTATGGAGAGCTTTCCAATGAAAAAAAGGTCAAGCTTGTTGCTATTCGACTAAAGGGAAGAGCTTTCACTTGGTGGGTACAACTACCTTCAAAGTGTCTACCAAGCCCTTCATGTTCTCAAGCAAGTTGGAGGTGTGGGCTAGTACACGGAATCTTTCTATCAACTCATTGCTCGGGTTGATTTAAATGAGAGGGAAGAGCAACGGGTGGCTCGTTATTGTGAGTGGCTTGAAGCCTTTAATCCAAGATGTTCTTGCCTTGAATATATTGTGTAATGTTTCCGAAGCCTATAATCAAGCTTTAGCCGTGGAAAAGCAACAAAGTTGTTGTGCTTCCCAAATGGGACAATACTCCCAAGGAGGATTTTGAGGTAATTTTAGGCTAGGTCCTTCCCCTTCTAGCTTTGCCAAAGCTATTCCTCCTTCTAAGTTCATGGATAAGGTGCTTCTTCCTCTCAAGCTTCTCATCCTAATGGTGCTTCCGGAAACTAAAATCCACCTCAAGGTGGAACCTTCAAGTGTTTCAAGTGTGGTGAACCGGGCCATAGATCTTCCGATTGCCGCAAGAACATGGGCATTAATCGAAACAAGACATTTCTCATTGAAGAAGTTGAGGACCATGGTGACTATGAGGACGCTCCATTTTAGGACACTTCAGACAATGTTGAAATTGGTGGAGATAGTGATGAAAAAGAGGGTCTTGCTCTTATGATAAAGAAGACACTTCTATCACCAAAGCTAGGGAGCCAAGAAGATTAGTTGCACACCAATATCTTCTATACCGCTTGCAACATTGGTGGATGTGTTTGTAACATGATCATTGATAGTGGAGGTTGTGAGAACCCAGTTTCTCAATAAGTGGTGGCTAAACTCAACCTTTTGGTGGAGGACCATCCCCATCATTATTCTCCATCTTGGTTCGAGAAAGGCAATGAGATTAAGGTAACCAAACGGTGCTTGATTTCTTTTTCTATCTGAAAGAAGTATTGTGTTTGATAGACATGCTAAATCCCTTGATCACTTTTAGAGAACTTTGTGGAAGAAAATTGGCACTGACTTGAACTTTAGCACTGCCTTTCATCCTCAAATTGATGGCCAAACGGAGGTGGTGAATCAGAGTCTTGGCAACTTGTTGAGGTGTCTTGTGGGAGATCATCCTAAGAGTTAGGTTGGTATTCTTCCCTTAGCCAAGTTTGCTTACAGCTCGTCAATCAATTGCACCATAAATACTTCTCCTGTTGAAGTGGTTTATGGGATGAAACCTTCAAGTGTTATGGACTTTGTTCCTTTTCCTATCTCAAGGAAGGGAAGCATCAAAGCGGAGGAAATGGCTACATTCATGAAGAATGTTCATGCTCAAGTTAGGTCTTAAATTGAAAAGTCCAATGCCAAATACAAATCAGCCGGTGATGTGCATAAACAGAAAGTGTTGTTTGAGGTGGGGGATCTTGTTCGGGTTGTGTTGAGCAAAGAAAGGTACCCTCACGGTTCTTACACCAGGTTGAGTGATAGGAATGTGGATCCTTGTGAAATGTTGCACAAATTCAATGACAATGTTTATCAAGTCAAATTGTCGCCTCATTTGGGAATCTTCAACACCTTCAATGTGCAAGATCTGGTGCCTTATTTGCCGGATTCTTCTTGCATCGACACCACTTCTGTCATTGTAGATTAGCTTTCTTTTTGGAATTTGTTTGTATCATACTTTTCTAGTTTTGTGTTTCATTTCTTGTGCATTGGTTGTATTTTGTTTGTCTTCACTTGAGGACAAGTTCTTTCGAGTGAGAGAGTATGATGTAGGATATTCTCTCTTTGATATATGATGTAGGATAGCCTCTATCTAGAGAAGTCATAACCATCTTGTAATTAACTTTGATATATGAACATTGATTGCTAGAGATATTCTCTCTCTAGAACCTTACGGTTTCTCTCTCTTGTTCTTGGTTGGACCCATCAAGTATCCAGTAAGCTTTACAGAACAGATTGCCTCAGAATTTTATGATGATTGGGGCATGTGAGGTTGGACGTACACCCTCTTGGATACCAGTCTGCAAAATACTTTAACCTCATTATTTGAAGTTGTTATGTTGTTGATTCATATATTAACCTTCTGATTCATCTTGCTAAGCAAAGCAGGTCTAAAGTTGTTCAGTTGTGTACAGTGTTGTGTAGTTCTATTTAACATCATGATATGTGTTTTTCAGCTTCTCAATTCATTTGAATGCTCTGCTTAATCTTATTTCTGTGCTGTATTTCAGATTGAACCTGTTTCCAGTAAAATTAAGATATTACCTTGCATGCCAATATTGTTGTGAGTTGAAATGTTTCATTTTCCTTTCTAGGAAGGAATATAATTTATCTCCAGTACAAAATTATGAACCATGTCTATTTGGTTTGTTCTCTTTATTTTTGATTTAATTGGGTTTTCTGGCTTTTGTTTGCTTTTGTTTTTTATTTTTATTTTATTTTTCTCATGAGATAGTGGGTATACTGTTAATGCAGATGCCTGACGATGTGGATCCTTTTCGTAATTTTGTTGAGTCTACTAGGAGATGTTGTTCTTTTCTGAGTGGATTGCTTTGCAGCTTAGTTTCTCGACATTGTACTGATCTGGTGAGTAAAGATTCTGTGTCTGATGGTGAGATAGATGAAACTTTTTTTATCTTTTGGTTCTGCTGCCATATTACTGGATACTGATCATGATATTTGATTGCAGGTTGGCTCACCATTTGGTGCTTCTTATAAGTTGGCTGGAGAAGGGGATCATCATTCAACTGTTATGGCCGCAAGAGAAACGATTGATCTTACTTCATCTGATAGTGATTCATCTTGGGATCTAGATGAATATAGAGAATATGAATCACTTCTGAGGGAAACTGCTGATTCTGCCAATCACGAGATCATTTCATCAAGGGATTCTGCAGTTGGTGCAACTTCAAGGGGTAAAAATTAACATTTTTATAAATAAAAAAATCTGCACGTTCCAATATTCTTTTGCTACCCGATCATATAGCACTTGATTTTGTTTCAGGTCGTGTTGGACCATCTCAAGAGGTTCCCTTTCCTATGAAAGCAATTACTTCTAATGGAAGTTCTTCAAATGTTGACCATCATACAGAGGCTAACCTTCGGTTGCATCCTAGTTCTAGTGAATATGTTAGAGCCTCTAATTGGCATACGATGCAGGCTGACAATTCTAACTATTCTAAAGAGAACGGTAATGTGGTTCAGCCAGAAAATGTCATGCATTTCAAAGTTTCACTGGTTCATTGATTCTGAACTGTTGGTATGTACGGTACAGATTACAAAAAACTTTCTTCCCAACAAGCTCTGAAGAGGACCCTTCCAAATTCCATCCAGGCATCTGCACAAAGTTCCAGATCAAGCAATTTGGTAGAGAATGTTAGCAGCAGTCAGATTCGTGATGCTCGTGGAAAATCTCATCATTATGCATGGCCAAATCTAGCCAAAAAGAACCATATGGAAGACCATTTTGGCAGGAGCATTGATGATGAAGTTATTGTGTATGAGAACAACGGAAATAGGATACTACCTCCATCCCTGATGCATGGCAAGTCTGTTTCAACTTCACAGTATATCAGTTCAAGTGATCCTACACCCCGTCCTGGTTTGGTTGAAGAAAGGGCTGTTGGAAGTGATGAGAGACTAATTTATCAAGCGGCACTACAGGTATTTCTCACCATGCAGATATAAAATCATTTTAATTTCCATTATGTGGTCTGTGAAGAGTTATTATCTTGGATTTTTCTTGGATTCTGTTGTTGGCTCAAAATGCATTTGTTGCCATTTCATGTACTAGAAAGTGCTGCATGTTTGACTTCTCACTTTTCATAAATGTGTCTCCCCGTCTTCTTAATGAGTTTGACCTGGGTTTATAGCTGCCATGCTATGTAGCACGGACACGGACACGGGACATGACACGGACACGTAAAAACGCAAATTTTTAAAAAATAGGGGACACAACACGCTGGGGACACGTTTAATATATATATATATTTATATATTATATGTAAAATTAAAAAATACATACTATTTTTATTTATTTATTTTATTTATTATATGTAAAATTAAAAAATAAATATATTATTTGTATTTATTTATATTATTTATTTACAAAAAAAAGGTGTAAAAAAGAAAAAAGAATAAAAAGAATAAAGAGAGAGAGACACTCAGACACGGTAATAAGGAAGAGGGAAGAGAAAGTGAGAGTCAAATAGAAAAAAAGGGAGAGACAGAGAGCGAGAGCGAGAGCGAGAGGCGACGGTGACGATCAGAGAGCGAGAGGCGAGAACAGAGAGAGATGGACAGAGAGAGAGGAGATGAAGACGATGAGAGACGAACACAGAGAGAGAGGAGACGAATAGAGACGCGAAAGAAATACCTCGATCAGTGACGAAGAGGATTCGATCTAGCCTCGATATAGGCTTCAACAGGTTCTTCCTCTCTCTCTCTCTCTCTCTCTCTCCCCCTCTATCTTCAATGGGTTAGGGTTTCTCTTTGTCTCTTGATTAGGGTTTCTTTCTGTTTACAACGTGTCCACGACGTGTCAAGCGTGTCTGAAAGAGTGTCCGCCTGCAAAAATTCAAAAAAAAAACAGGGACACGTTAGGTCGAGTGTCGGACACGTGTCCGACGCGTGTCCGACACCCATACGCTGCCTCCAGAGATGTGTCCGTGCTTTATAGCTGCCATGAATGTAAGAATAAGTAAGAAGACAATATACTGCTAATGGGTGAGACAAAATTAGGGTTCTCTCTCATGGGGAGCATCTATTTACACATCCCAAATACTCTCTTTGCACATCTTTCTCACTACACACACCAAAAAAATTAATTCCTAATTAATGTACTCACTACACACACGGTTTATTCCACATCTGCCCTCACACACACATACACCCCCCAACCCCAAACCCAGCTCTCTCCCAACGGTGCAAATACACACACCCATTGAAGCTTAAGCTACATCTTAAACCTTGAGGATACATACTAGGGTTCTCTCTCATGAGCACATATTTATATCAAGTGGTCCGAAGTACAGGAATACCCCTCAGGCTACTGGCAACTGAGCATAGCATAAAAACATAACACAACACTCTCCCCCAAGTTGTGCGAAGATATCTCTTATGTCTAACTTGCAAAAAATGGGGTAACAAATTCTACTACTAAGACCTTTGGTAAAAACATCAACCAACTGATTTTCTTATTTTACAAAAGGCATACAAATCAATCTTTTATTCGACTTCTCTTTGATGAACTACTTGTTAATCTCACTATACTTTCTTCTATCATGCTGAACTGGATTATGGGCAATCTTAATGGCAATTTTGTTGTTGCAATCTAACTTTATGGGTCATCACAATAGACTCCCAAATCTTCTAGTAAAGTCTAGTGCCACATTAGTTCACAAGTGTCGGTAAGTTTCTAAATATTTCTGTATATTCGAATATGTTTTTAATACAAGAATACACCAGTTTATATAACAACCTAACCTTAGAACTGATAAGGAAACACAAAGATTCACTCCATCTCTAATATATACATAACATATATAACTCAATCCCTAATATATACAGAATATATATACTACCACATATACATATAATGTAAGGAGCCAAGAAGACAGATGGAGACAGAGTCTGATTGGCCGTCTTAAGATGGGTTTCTTCAGAGAGTTCACGAACAATAGCATCCACAAAGGGAAAAGGAGACCGGTGAAGGATACCACCACGGATAGCCTCATATTGAAGGGAGAGAGTTGTTAAGAACTGCACTAAACGACCCTTTTTCTCGAAACTACACATAGGACTAGCCGGTTCCATGAGAGCAAGCTGATCCCTAAGTCCTGTCATCTCAATGTAGAAATCTTGAATAGACTGATCTCGCTGGCAAGCACTCTGAATAGCTGTTTCCAATTCATATCGTTTGGCAAAGTTGGACTGTTGATAAATCCCCTGTAAATAGTCCAAACCTCCTTGGCAGTAGTGTATTTGGAGATCATCCCAATACGATCATCCACAGCATTATGAAACCAAGTCAGAACTTGGGCATTATCATAATCTCAAGCGTCACAATTAGCTTGATATCCATCCTTTTTGGGATCCGATAAACGAGAAACAGAACGAGAAACATATCTCCATTTTTTTCGACCAAGCAAATTTTTTTTCATAACATTGGACCAATAAGGATAATTGGCTCCAATAAATTTGCAAGCTATAGATTAAGTCTTATTGTCTGACATGGTGATAATATGTAAATAAAAGCTATTAGGGACCTAAATGAAAAGTATTAGAACCAGTGGAGGTCAAAATATAATAACCAGATTTTTGACTCAACACCTAGAAATATCAATCAGTTTAAGGAAGAACCAAAGTTAAAGAATGAAGGGAGAGAGTCTGAACCAGACGATCAGACAAACCAGAGAGAGATCGTGAACTAGAGAAGAGAGAGATCGTGAACTATAGAGAGAGAGAGAGCAGGCTTGTGCAAGTAAGAGAGACCCTTGCGAGAGAGCGAAGGATGAAGATGAACCAGAGTAGAGGGTCGCGACTTCAGACCAAAAATCAGGAGGCTTTCATGACTTCAGAGAACCATAGAGAAGGCCTTCGTGACACAGAGAGGACTTCGAACAACGAGTTCGAATGAAGCGAGAGAACGTCGAACGATCGAGACTAGACCTAGGGTTTCGAATATGGCTCTGATATCATATAAGTTTTTGAATATTTCTATATATTGTAATGTGTTTTTAATACAAGAATACACCAGTTTATATAACAATCTAACTTTAGAACTGAAAAGAAAACACAAAGATTCACTCCAACCCTAATATATACATGACATATATAACTCAATCCCTAATATATACAGAATATATATACTACCATATATACATATAACGTAATATTCTCGAAGTATCATGAGCCAAAACCCTTTATTTTGCCTTTGCACTGGATCTACACACCACTACTTGCTTCTTGCTATGCCAAGCAACTAAATTTCCCCTTGCAAAAGTATAGTAGCCTGAAGTAGATTGTCTATCATCAATTGAAACTATCTAATCTGCATCAGTAAATGTCTCTAATCTCAAGCCACCATGGTTAGAGAACAATATCTCTTTTCCAGGAGCTGACGCGAGATTACTCAAAATGCGATATATTACATCTAGATGCACTAAATGAGGATCATGCATAAACTGACTTGCAACCTCGACTACATATGCAATGAGTATGGAACATATATCGAGTCCCTCACAAGTCTCCTGTATCTCTCCTTGTTTGTAGGATCACCGACACTACTACTAAGATGATGTTTAGCCTTGATTGGTGAATTTTTATGGCCTACAATTCAACATGCTTCTTTCATCAAGAAGATTGAGAATGCACTTACTTTGAGAAATAAAGATGCATTTATTTGATTGTTTTTTTTTTTGGGGATACATAATTAGACTTTATAGAGAAAGCATCAAGATGAAACAAAAGAATACAAGAAAACCCCAAAATGGGATGATGCTAACAACTTTTAACCAATAACATCATCTAAAAAGTCTAAGAAACAAATAAATCTAGATCCATCCTTCTTCTCTTTGACCAATTGTACAGAGTAACTAATAAATGGTTTTCAAACCACGAAACACAATGACGTGTCTCTAGAAAAGTATGTTGATTCCGTTGCAACCAAATCAACCACATCACACAAAATGGCACCAATGACCAAACCTGTCGTCGACGGTGCTCAACCCGAACCCCCCTCTAACTCCACAACAACTCCAAAACCCCCATCGGCTACACCCAAGCAATTCCAAAGGCAGAACAAATAAGCCCCCACCAAATAAATAATCAGATGCATTTATTGGATTTGGCAACTTCAATCCCGAGAAAGTGCCTCAAAGGATCAAGTTTTTTTATTATATCAAATTCCTTGTTTAATCTCAGCTTGAGTTGTGTCACTTCCTACGTATCATTGTCTGTCACCACTATCATTCTGATTGTAGACAGTAATCTTATCGTTGTTTCATTGAACTTTCATAGTGTCATTTGTATTGCTCTATTTGTACCCAAAATTTAGCATAGTCTTCCTCAAGAATATGTACTATTCTAATAGTTGAAGTAGGTGTTACAATCTGCGGCTCATCCTAATTGAAAAGCCCATCCTACACTTCTCCTTAAAACTCAGGTATTAAGAAGAGGGAAACTAGAGCCTTATAATTAGCACAGATAGGGCAACTTCAGGCGATGTAGGACACATTCCAACGCATTCTCTTGGACCACAACATACAGTAGTCAGACAAACGGCACACAAATCACAGGCCCAACCAAGCTCTGATACCAAATTGAAAAGCCTAGTCCACACTTCTCCTTAAAACCCATGTATTAAGAAGAGGGAACTGGGGCCTTATAACTAGTACAGATGGGGCAATTCTAAGCAATGTGAGACACATTCCAACACACCCTCTTGGACGACAACATACACTAGTCGAACAAACAACACACCAGTCGCAGGCCCAACCAAGCTCTGATACCAAATTAAAAAGCCCAATCCACACTTCTCCTTAAAATCCATATATTAAGGAGAGGGAAACTAGAGTCTTATAACTAGCACAGATGAGGCAACTTCAAGTAATGTGGGACACATTCCAACAATCCTTCTCCTGAACAGTAAACCTTATGTGTTGCAAGTCTCTACTTACTAAACTACATAATATGATATGATTCATTCCATGGTATGGTGTGATTTGTATTGCTTTACTCTCTTTCTTTTTTTTTTTGATCAGCAACAAAAGAAGAATTTTATTAAAATAGAGAAAGAGGATAGAAAAGTACAAAGGAGGACAAGAAGTCCTCAAAAGCGAAAACCAAAAACAGAAAAATCAAACTAAGAAACACACACGGCCTTCCAATCACTAGAAATTAAGAAATGCGGGGTTCCTCTAAATGGGGGAGCGACCAAAGCCCAAAAAGGTGCCAAAAACCTTATTTTCTCTCACATTGAACAAATGTCAAATCTGTCATCTTCGAAGATCCTTGCATTCTTTTCCAACCATATAACCCAGAAAAGAGCAAAAACTGCACAAAGCCCTAACACCTTTGCTTTCTTGTTGCAGTCCAGGAATCGAAAATTAATAGAAAGCATAGAGCTACATGATTCGGGTGCCACCCAAGCAAGGCCATCCCATGTAAAAAATTGTTGCCACAAACACCTTGCCACTAGGCAGTGCAAAAAAAAAAAAGAAAAAAAAAGAAAAAGAAAAGATTTAGAGTTTCCCCCCTCTTCCTTACACATAATGCACCATTGAGGAGAGAGAAAACGGGCCTTCTCCTTTGAAGAACATCATTGGTCAAAATGTTTCTATGAACTAGAGACCATATAAAGAACCTCACTTTGAGAGGTGCAAACGACTTCTAGATTCTTTTGTGAAGAGGAAAGTATGAATATTTGGCTTCTCAATGATTTTTTCGAGAAAAGATTTGCAAGAAAATACACCAGAGGAATGTATAAGCCAAACCAATTTATCCCTTGAGGAGGAATACGAAGACAAATGATCAATGCGAGACAACAAGGAGGTTAAATCCCCAATTTCTCTATCAGTGAGATTTCTAGCAAAACTAAGATTCCATGCAATTGGAGCCAAACTAGAGCAAGCCGACGACGCAATGGAGAAACCATGAGAATTTGCAACCCATGAGAATTTGTACCCAAAGCAGAGTCTTCCTCAGGAATAGATACTACTCTACAGTTGAAGGAGTGTACCAATCTGTGGTTCATCCACCTCCTGAACACTAAACCTTATGTATTGCAAGTCTCTACTAACTAAACTCTGTAATATGGTTCTTTCCGTGATATGTTCCTCCCCCTTGCTCATGACGTTTATGATCACTACCTCCTTTACCATGATATCAACCACTATGACCACCCGTAGCCGACACTAGATTTTTTACCACCTCCTATAGTAGTTAGTAACCCACCTCCTATAGTAGTTAGTAACTAAAGCGGATCTCTCACTAGAAGGTTGTGCAACTAAAGTAGAATCAGACAAGGAGGCCTATTGAAGTTGACTAATAACGGCACTCGGAGAAGGAAGCTCCTTACTATCTGGAATCTTTGATTTCACTGAATCAAAGAATGGAGGCAAACCAGACAAGAATAAAGAAAGATCATTCATAGGAAGGGAGAAATACTCCAATGAAGATCGTAAGTTCTATGGAGATTGTTGAGACTAGAGCACTTCTCTAGTGTCAACACAAGTTTCGTAGTTGGTAAGAATATTAGACAACTGATTTTATGGTTCATACTGTTCCATAGACAACTCTGAATCTAGGCATCTTCAACTCTCCAATTTGTAAACTTTGGATTTCAATGGTATGAGCCCATTGGGCATAGTTACTTCCATTTAGACGAATGGAGACTGAATAGAACTCGTCAAATCCATGGGCCCACCTTATCCAATCAAGAATTCCAATGCACTCAACTAGCAAAACATAAGAGGTAATAGTGCAAAGTAGGAGTTGTGCATGTCAAAATCCCTCAACCATGAAACATAGTCTTCATCACAAAACACATTGTAGCAGAATAGACATCTAAAAAATTTACTCCATAAAAAATTAGAAAAGTAGGATCCGTGATCGTTTTTAGTGGTTGAGTCAAGAAGTCCTTATCTGAGCTGAGACAATTGGAGAACAATCGAAGACCATAGAACAATTGAAGATCATTGGCACTGGTGGAAGCAAACTTTGTAGGCAATGTTTGAGGGTACGGTTTGCAAAGAACTGGTCATGGGTGATCGTGAGTGCCTGTGACTTGTTGGAGATAGTTGTGAAGCGTTGCAATTGAGATGTGGTGCGACGGGCTGGTGGTCGACGATTGTGATGTAGGGTGTGATTGCGAATGATGATGATGCAGGTTACGGTGGTGGGGGTAAAGCGGGCAACATGGTGATGAATTGCAATTGGTCTAAACCTTCGACCAGTGACTTATTGGGACCTACCCAGAATGCCCATACATACTAAGACCTTGTTCACACAGCGAAGAAAGGCCCAGTGGAAGGGAATTAGCTTCCTGTCTTCTTGCTGGCTTGAATTAAGTAGCTCTTCATTGCTTGTCTGCATGTCCTTTTGAGACGCAAAGGCAGGGTCAAGGCAGCTAGGTATTGGAATATGGGGTCAACTAACCCATCAAATTTTAAATTTAACTAGATATGTAAAATGTGATACTAGTTATGGATGAGATTTTTCAGGTGACCACATCAATATGATTGAAAAAGTATGTAAAACAGCATCTCGGTTTCAATCTTGTCTTTTTGTTATCATTGAGGTCAATCTTTTGTTTAGTATTTGACAGAATCTATTAAACAAACATAAATATTAAAAATTAGGGTTTACTTTTTTGAAATTGAGGGAAACTGAATTGAGTTTGAAAATAAACAATTTCTAGAATTAATTTAATTTAGTGGAGGTTGGTTTTATGCAATTCATCTTTGTGGGTAAAAGAAAATTTTTAATGACAAAGTCGTCGTTCATTGTTGCTCTGATACTATGTTAGAATTTTGGAGAAATCCAACCCAAAATCAATTATCAATCGGTGGAGGGGCCTCTAGTCTATAGAAACCAAGCTTGGGTGGCTTAGAAAAGGATGCGGGACAAGTCTAACATCTATGAATCTTTTTCTTTCGTTCTTTTTTCCTCTTTTCAAACTATGTAATATTGTTTTAGGTGATAAAACAAAAAGTTTAGTGTTCCTTCTATCTGTGTCTGTTCCTTAACTTTCCTATTAGTTTTACTGGAACATAAACTTTTGTGGTAGTCTTTTTGGTATGAAGATGAGCTGTTTCCCTGTTGCGCTTGCCCATCACTAGGAGGTCCAATGGCATCAATGGGGCCTCAGTTCTGTGTTTATGAAACACATTTACGGGCTGGGTGGTTTCTCAGTTTGGATGGATTATTAGGTGAACCAGTCCAATTTTAGCATCCTTATTTAGGTCGTATCTGGTATTTTTTTGGTTAATATAGTTGATCCATTTACCAGAGGATGTCTATCCCATTATGTTTCCTTTGATATGCATATTGTTTCAATTTTTTTATTTGTTTTTAATTTCAAATTAATATTGATATTGAGAAATTAAAATCGCTTGCAAAAGTAAATCTTGTCAACACTGTAGATTTGTAGATTTAATCTACACCTAGATTTCAACTTAAATCATCTAGGCCCTTAATGCAAAACTGTTGAAACTTTGTAGATGACTCTTTTTCATCATTGGACTCCTTTTAGCACCATATCCTTTACCAGCGTTTGCACTTTCATTTTTGTTCCTCCCCCCCCCCCTTCATAGTTTCACATTTTTATTTGCTATGAAAAGGTCTGTCCTTGCCCTAATATTCCTACATTGAGGGCAGAAAAGTACCTCAAAGATGGAATTGTTTCTTACTTTTTATCTATGATTGAATTACTTGTGTTGCTCACAGCTGGCCTGGTGCTGCATCAAAATCCTGATTCAACCAGTTATTAGTTCGATTTAATCAGCAATACCAATGTCTTTTGGGATCTTGTGACCTGAACTAACCTTATTGTATTACTAGGGAAGTTGGAACACATAATTGAAAGAAGGGGAGGAGTGATGCTTCAATGATATCTATTCTTAATGGATGTATTTTGCATCATAACTGTTCAGCTCTTGGGATCTAGTTCATTAGTTTAATTTTGATGTTAGAAATCTAGAATAAAATTGGTCCTTCAAATTTCTTGTACATTAATAACTATTGAATAATAATCCTTGATTGGAAAATCAACAGTTGATGGATATTGTTCACAATGTATTGTAGGATCTTAACCAACCTAAAGTTGAAGCAACATTACCTGATGGTCTTTTGTCTGTCTCTCTTCTACGACATCAGGTTCTCTCTCTCTCTCTCTCTCTTAATTTTTATTTTTGATCTATCTTTGTTAATTTGTCCTTCCATTTGCATGTGAACATGTTCTAATCTTGTATTATTTTATTTTACAGAAAATTGCTTTGGCTTGGATGCTTCAGAAGGAAACAAGAAGTTTACATTGTTTGGGTGGAATTCTGGCTGATGATCAGGTTAATAATTAGTAATTAGGTTGACCTTGCCCATTGTTTGGGATTTTTATAAATCTTCTATGCAGACTTATTCTGCTGTTATTTTACAGGGCCTTGGTAAGACTATCTCAGTGATTGCCCTTGTACAGATGCAGAGATTCTTACAATCAAAATCTAAACCAGAAGGTCAATCCGATCATAAACCTGAAGCCTTGAATTTGGATGATGATGATGAGAATGGCAGTGCCACTCTGGAAAAAGGCAAGCAGACTGGAGAATCTGATGATGTTAAGTTGATTCCAGAAGCGACTACTTCTATTTCGGAGTTGAGTAGGCGGAGGCCTGCAGCTGGGACATTGGTTGTGTGTCCGGCAAGTGTTCTTCGACAGTGGGCCAGGGAGCTGGATGACAAAGTTGCAGATGAAGCAAAACTTTCTGTTTTAATCTATCATGGAAGCAATAGGACGAAGGATCCTCTTCAATTAGCAAAGTATGATGTGGTTCTTACGACATATGCTATTGTGACTAATGAAGTTCCTAAACAGCCTTTGGTTGATGAAGATGATGAGGACCAAAAAAATGGGGAGAAATATGGATTATCTTCTGAATTTTCTGCTAATAAAAAACGGAAAAAGACATTTAATGTTGGTAAGAGAGGAAAGAAGGGGAGAAATGGAATTGATAGTTCTGTTATTGATAGTGATTGTGGTGCACTTGCAAGAGTTGGTTGGTTTAGGGTGGTATTAGATGAAGCTCAAACAATCAAAAATCACAGAACACAAGTGGCTAGAGCCTGCTGTGGCCTTAGAGCTAAAAGAAGGTGGTGCTTATCTGGTACACCCATACAAAATGCAATTGATGAATTGTACAGCTACTTTAGATTCCTGAAATATGATCCATATGCTGTTTATAAGTCATTTTGCAATACAATAAAGTATCCGATATCTAGAAACTCAATTCATGGTTACAAGAAGCTTCAAGCTGTTCTAAGGGCTATAATGTTACGCCGAACAAAAGGTGACTAACTCCTATGCCTGATTCTTTTATGTGTGTGGGTATGTTTATGTTTTGGACCATAACAATGGATGTGTCTCAAAGTAGTTTCATCCTGTTGCACAGATTGTAATTCAGTTTTTATGTGCACTGACATGAACTTGTGTGTTTTGAATTCTTATTAGAATGTTTTGCAAATATTTTTCCCACAATATACTAGTTCTTTTAGGCATTGGAGCTGTGGAATATGCCGGAATATGGAACGTGAGATCTCTAAATCATGGAGACAACATTCTTTTAGAAAATCTGTGAACAATAGAAACCTATCTACAGATCTTGTTCTTTGTCATAGCTTGATGCTTCTGCATAGCTCGTCTGTTGCTGTCAGGAGTGCTTTCTAGCTGATCTTTCTATGTGGCCATGTGGTGCACATTTTGCTAGTTTGGGAATAATTTTAGCAGGACTCTTGTCAACCCAAAAAAAGGAGTCGTCCAGCTATTTTATTGACCCACTTTTTTAATCATTAATATTAAAGAATAATTCAAATTGTAGTTTTTATAATTATATAATAATAGAAGTATATATTATTGGTTGTGTTCAGTTGACATGAAGGTAGCAAATATATATAGACTAGAAAATGTGCACGAGGGTGCATGGCATAAAAGAGAGTACACTGTTGCATTGATATTTAGAAATTTGAAATTGAGCTACAATTTTGGAGCCAGTTGTGCCCTGTTTTTCATTGCTTAGTTTTTTCTTATTTTATTTCTCCTGCTGGCCTCTATTTAGCTATTTATCTGCACATGTGAATATGGTTGTGTTTTTCTGGATTATTTTATTTTATTTTTTTCTTTGTTTAACTTTGGTTGGTGCTACTTTGTTCAACTTTTGTTGCTCAAATGTATAGATCTTATATACTTGTGCCACACTAATGTGTACTTGGAGTTTTTTTTATTTCTTCGGTGCTGATCATCATCAACCTGTGTCCTAGGCACATTGATTGATGGGGAGCCTATAATTAGATTACCACCAAAGACAATACATTTGACTAAGGTGGATTTCTCTCCAGAAGAGCGGGCTTTCTATGCAAAACTGGAAGCTGATTCACGCTCACAATTCAAGGTGTTTTTCCCCCCTTTATTTTTTGTTCATTGTTTCCGACTTTTTTTCATCATTTTGTTTTCTATTTTTGTCTTTTATTCTTGAGGAAGCTTTAGATGCTTGTGCTGGATGGTGAGTTAACGATCAAGTATACTTGGTTGTAGCGCATTGCTATATGTCAGAGATGAAAACCTGTCTCAACTTTTGAAACTAAGAGTTTCATACTAGTGTTTTTTTTTTTTTTTTTTTGAGATCAAGTAGTTCTTGTAGCTGGTTTTGCATGCATGAAATACAGGAAGCATGGTGGTGAAAAATAGCAATGTCTTACTCTAGGCATTATTTGATCCACACTGAGAAACTATTTTCTTTCAAAATTCTTGTACTGGCTTTGTGCACAAGTGCAAGTATACTGTTGCTAATTTCCTACTGCATAGAACTTTTGGCGCTTTTGGAGGCATGACAAGATAATGCAGTTTGCATAATTGGTCATTTTTTCATAGAGGTACACTCTATGAAACAAGGATAAAACAAAAGGAAAATAATCACCACAATGATGTTCAAAACGTATAGGGGATTCTTGTAATTTACCCTTTTTGGAGAACTTTCAACTAATGTACTGGGAGTTCCAAACCTTTTGGAATAAAACTGCGGCTGCAACATTACCCCTTCACAGTTATGTCTTGCATTTGTTTTTTATTTATTAAAATTTCATCCAATCTTACTATGCTAGCATTTTATGAGCGAAAATCGCCTTTACCTTATAAGAAATATGAAACAAAAGCCTAATATGAAAATATTATGGCTTTCCTTTATTTCTTCTGTATATTCTAGTACTTCTATCAATAAAAAAAAGCCTAATATGAAAATATTATGGCTTTCCTTTATTTCTTCTATTAATCAGAAAACCAAAAGCTGCGGCCTGCAACCTTATCCCTTCACCAGCTATCTCTTGAATCTATTGTGTATTTATGACAATTGTTAAGTCTTCTTCTCCAGCATGAGTCTTCGGTTGTATTTAGTTCATTTGCTCGTTTATCCGAATAGTTTCCTTCCATTTGTGAGAATATTAGGTTAGGTTTATATATATGGTAGTGTACATTGTGTATATGAGGCAGTGTTTCCTTTTCTTATATGGCAGTAGGTTTATATATATGGTAGTATATATTGTGTTTATATATGGCAGTGTTTCCTTTTTCTATATGGCAGTGTTTTCTTTTCCTTTTTAGTCTTAGGGTTAGAATTACTATATGACACAATTTGAATATACAAAAAACATTCAGAAATCTTATATGGTATCATAGTCGTGTATGAAAACCTAGCACCGTCGATTGTTGAGTTTTGAACGACCTCTTTCTGCCACAAGAATTGCGATTGTACCCATATCGTAATCGACATTGGTTCTTTCCAGAATCAAGCTCATCTAGCATTGGAATCATCGTACCTCAGCTTTTGGTTCGTGTGATTGGTCCATCTAATTTACACATCTGGGTCACATCTCTTCGTTGCATGTGTGACTCGCATGGGTGACCCATTTGGTTCGAACCCCTTTGTCACTCCTCTGACTCGCGTGGGTGACGCATTGCAATTAACTCTGCTTCTCTCTGGTCCTCTTCTTCGAAACTTCTGGTTCTCTGTAAGCTCTGTTATCTTGTTGCTTTGTCTCTCTCATTCGACCCATCTAGGTCATTCGTTCGACCCATCTGACTGTTGCATCTGGATCGACCAATTTAAGAGACCGAAGATTCGAGTCACGAAGCTTCTCTCTGTAACGATTTCGCTCTCTCTGTAGTTCTCTAATTTTGTGGGTCTCGATATCTCTCCTCTGAGTTTGACCTATCAGTTTTGTGTTATTACACTTAGACCCTATCAGTTGTCTTTTCATTTTGTGGTTTATTGCAATGTCGAATGATAAGATTGCTAGGGCCAAAAATAGGTTGTTGGTTTCAGATCAATGTGCCGTCTGCCATCAGTGGGGCTATTAGAAGTACCACTATCCCAAGAAGGGACGCCTGTCTACCTCGTCTTTTCAACAGTCTCAGAACCAATTTTGGGCTCCTCTTGCTAGTTATTGCATTTGCTTCGGCTCTTGATCCTGACTTCGCTTTCTTGAGTGCTCAAATTAGTCAATTTCAGCATATACTGTCTACCTCCTAACCGTCCCCATCTGCCTCCATTATTTCCTCTCTTTATTCAGGTTTGCTTGGGCCTTTTTCAGGTATCTTCGTCTGTCTGGATTTTTGACTCTGGTGCCTTTCATCATATGACTTCTCATCTCTTCTTACTTCAAAATTGTACTTTCTCTCATTTTCTTATTACTGTTAATGCTGCTAATGGGTCTGATATGTCTGTTATATTTGTTGGGTCTGTCTTTCTGTCTACTATGTCTGCTGTTTTTATTCCATCTGTCCTTTATGTTCCTCAGTTATCTATCAGTTTATTTTCTATCAGTCATCTTGATGACTTCGGTTTTGATGTTATCTTTTCTTCTTCCATTTGTTTTGTCTAGGATCGGATGTCCAAGCGGCAGATTGGGACTGGTCGTAGAGTTAGAGACTTCTATGTGGTGGAGAGCCTACATCTGCATATGACTACCTCTCTGACTGTTTTTTTCTCTTTTGAGTTAGATTCTTTGTTCACTCCTTTCTATTTGTGGCATTCCAGATTAGGGCATTTGTCTGCTGACCGCTTACGGTCTTTAGCTTAATCAGGTATATTGGGTAAAAATTTCTCCTAGTCAACTTACTGATTGTTGGGGGTATAAACTTGCCAAAATAATAGCCTTACCTTTCTGCAAAAGTACCTCTATATCTGATACACCGTTTTCTTTAGTTCATATTGATCTCTGGGGTCCTTTTGTTCTCACTAAAAGGGGCTCTACATACTATGTTTCATTTGTTGATGACTACACCCGTTGCACTTGGATTTATCTTATGACTCATAAATCTGACTTCTACTAGATATACCGTACTTTTCAATCTATCGTCACTACACAGTTTGGGTCTATTATTAAATTGTTGCGGTCTAACTTTGGTGGAGAATACTTTAAAATTGAGTTCTATGAATATTTGGCCAATTTGAGTACCATTCACCAAACTTCCTGTACTGATACACCTGCCCAATTTGGGTAAACACCGTCATCTCCTTGAGATATCTAGGTCTCTCCTTCTCTCTGCCTCCGTTCCGACTTCGTTTTGGATGAGGCAGTTCTTACTGCTGTTTTTCTTCTCAACCGTATACTTACCCCTCTTCTTTCTGGTCGGTTTCCCTACGAAGCTTTGTTTTCTCAACTTCCTTATTACACCCTCCTTCGTGTGTTTGGGTCTGCTTATTTTGTCCTTTTATCCCGTAAAGATAGGACCAAACTTAGTGCTCGGTCTGTCCTATGTGTTTTTTTGGGTTATAGTCTTACTCAGAATGATTATCGTTGTTATGACCTTGTTTCCCGTCGCCTTTATGTCTCCTGCCATTTTGCCTTTCTCAAACATCTACCTTACTTTCAGCTTCCTCCTCTCACAGCCCTAGTTTCCAAAGAGGATTTGGTTCATATTAATCCATTTCCTTATGAGATCCCTCTTGATGAGTATCTTTGTTGTTCCCCATGAGTTTATTCCTTCTTCTTATACCACCCCTCCTAATGAGTCCTCCACTGACCCCCATGAGTCTGTTCCCTCCTTTCCTCTTCCTTTCTCGTCTGCTCCTTCTCCTTCTCATTCTCCTCCTTCGGTATTAGTCTATTTTCGTCGCAAGGCTCTCCCTCCACCAGTTGTCTTTGCCCCTGCTGCTGATCCTTTTGCTTTTGACGACTTTGATCTTGCTAATCGTAAGTATCCCCTTCGCATCCATAAACAAGTAGTCAAATTTTGTTTTGCAAAAACATGTTTTTCTCCTTCATATTGTACATTTTTGTCCGCTATACACTCTTTTTCAAAACCTCAGTCTTACAAGGAGGCCTGTCAGGATCTTCATTGGATTCAAGCTATGGAAGATGATTTGTCTGTTTTGCAGAAAATTATTACTTGGGAGTTGATTCATTTGCATGCTGGTAAGAATCTGGTTGGTTGCAAATGGGTCTACAAAGTCAAGACTCATTCTGATAGTTCTCTTGAGCGCTACAAGGCTCACCTGGTTGCCAAGGGTTTTTCTCAAGAGTATGGTATTGATTATGAGGAGACGTTTGCCTCTGTTACCAAGATGACTACTATCTATACTTTGATATCTGTTGCTGCTGTTCGTCATTGCCCTCTTTATCAGATGGATGTTAAGAATGCTTTTCTTAATGGTCATCTCATTGAGGAGGTTTACATGTGTCCTCTCCTGGCCTTCACCATTCCTTTGGACAAGTTTGTCGTATTCGACGTGCTTTGTATGGTCTGAAACAATCTCCTCGTGCTTGGTATGATCGCTTTCAGACTGCTGTTACTGAGCTTGGGTTTTATCCTTCTGTCTAGGACTCTGCTTTGTTTCTCCTCCACACTTCTGCTGGGTTTGTTGCCTTATTATTGTATGTGGATGATATGATTATTATTGGCTCTGATTCTTCTGCTATCTTTGAGGTCAGGTAGCATTTTTTCCGCACCTTCGAAATGGAGGATTTGGGCCCATTGCGGTATTTTCTTGGTATTGAGGTAACTTTTTCTCCCAATGGCTACTTTCTATATCAGGCCAAGTATGCTAATGAAGTTATTCACTGTGTTGGTCTTACTGACACTAAGATTGCTGATACCCCCATTGAGCTTAATGTGAAACTTAATACTATCGATGATGTTCCTCTGTTTGATCCTACTTTATATTGGGAGCTCGTGGGTTACTTAGTCTATTTGACAATTACTCGTCCTGATCTTGGCTTTGCTGTTCATGTGGTTAGTCAGTTCGTTTCTGCTCCTCGTTTTACACAGTGGGCTGCTTTGGTTCGGATTCATCGCTATCTTCGCGGTACTATCTTCCAAGGATTTCTGTTTTCCTCTACTTCTTCCTTGGCTTTAGTCGCCTATGCTGATGCTGATTGGGTTAGTGATGTACTT